ATGCAGTAAGTGACTAAAGTCACTAATCAAAATTAGCTACTTAGATAAACCAAAGTGTAATAAAAGCATCATTTTTCTAAGATGCTAAAATAAATATTATTGCCAAGATTAAAAAAAAAAAAATGTTTTGCAAGCTATAGGTTTTTACATACCTAAACCCAGAAAAGGGAATTCTTTACATTCCTAAACACAGAGAAATACCTGGCTTTCTGCAGCTTACGAGCTTCTGATGCAAGAGAACAGGAATCTAAAGGAGCTGATGCTTGCTCTTTGGGAAAAATAATAATAGTGAAGCAGCACTACTTGCTGCTTCCTCCCTTCTCTGGCACAGTGGTCATTTAACCAGCCGATCTCTTACCAGCCGATCTCTTACCAACCTAAGCCAAAATAACTTCAGCAGCAATTATCCATTTTTTGATTCCTGCGAACGGTGCATTAGTGATGCTGTTTCAATGGACAATTTAGAGAGACCAGGCAGATTTTCAGGCAATTTGGAAAGAAAGCAGCCCTGCTCACCAGGCTGCTCGGGTTCCCACACTGCCCTTCCTCCCAGGCAAATTACAGAACAAACTGGGGGGGGGGGGGGGGGGGGAGAAGAGGAAAGCAGTAATTTATGAAAACATGGTACACCATAATTTTGCCATTTTTCTGCAATAAGGATGGCAAATGATTCATGGGGAAAAATGAAATATATTTCACTGTCAGCTCAACAGATCTAAGATTTACAGCTTCTTGACTTGGACAGGAAAAACTCAGCTTGCATAAGAATGAATTGCAAATCAGTTAATTGTTGATATGCAAAAATTGAAACAAAAATCTGTGTGCTTCCGTAAAATAATCAGAACAGCCAAGTAGGAGAGAAGAGGAAAGGCAGCGGCACACCGTGTTTGTCCTGGGGTGGTAGGAGGCTGCTTCTGCGAGGGACCGCGAGCCCGGCCACACAAGCTCACCTCTCTTCACTTCATGTCAGCTTTACTGATCAATCTCATTACATTTACATCAGTTGGATAAACAGATCACGGTATCTCACTAAGACAGAACCAAGATCTCCTTGTTTAGTCAAATAAAGCCCGTGGAGGATAACCAGTGACACCACCTAGCCCTGTCCCAGGCACCTGCACAGCCAGCACAACGCCGCAGCACCATGCTGGCTGAGTGTAGCTCAAAATCACAGCTGTCATGGAGAAAGAACAGCCTCACCTGCTGAAACACAGAAAGTTTGAACGCAGCCCCAGCCTGTTGAGTGCATTGAGCAGTCTCAGGCTGCAATGGTTCAGAGGAGGCAGACAAAACACGGTGGCTGATGCTGGCATTTGCCGAGGATCAAGTTCAGTGAAATACACAGTTAAAACTTCCCTAAATTTTCCAGAAACCAGCCCCCTGCTCACATCCAACTGGATAACCTAACACACATGACAGCCCTTGCACAGGGCTTTTTGTGGGGGGAAAAAAACACCCAAGCAAGCTAAAGGCTTGCTCAGGGAGCAAAATTTAATCTCTGCCTTTATTTGCAAAATAGGAAAAGATGAGATTATCCCAGAGCATGCCTGCATCAGCGGCATCTTCTGAGTGGAGAAGGTATCGATCCTGAAACACAGCCTGTAACCTCCAGCCTCCGCAGCTGAGCGCACGCTTTGCCGGGAGTGCTCCTGCACTGGGGTACAGACATGCAAAAACTGGGGGGAACGTTAGAAAGGGGAATGGGGACTAAAACCTCGTGGCAGAACTCTCCCACAAACGTGAACTCCCTCTTTTCCAGTGAGGAGAAGTAACGCTCACTTAGCAGCAAAGATTCACCCTCACCAAGGATGGTTTTCTCTCCTCGAAGAGGTACAATCAGTTCATATCTGACTCGGGGAAACACCCAGCTCAGGCAGCAACGCTTAAATATTAATGTTGCTATGATATTCTATATCATATTTCTAAAACAGGCTGCAGAGTATAAAAGAACGTAAGTTGCAATAAATCTGAAATTTGAACATTCAGTGGAGAAAATTGTGCAAAGCAAGGGAACCCAGTCCCAAAACACCATCCTCGAGAAAACTCCCATTCCTCTCAGTTCTGTGGAGCGCAGCAAAATCAAGATCACAACTCACGGCAATTTTAGTGCTATAAAAAAATATTTGGGACAAAAATGATTGCAGCAAACATTTTCTGACATATTACTTATACACCACCAATTAGATAAAATTTATAATCTTTGTAATTCCACTCTGGAGGTCTTGGTCCTGCTTATTTCTGTGGGGGACATGTGGAGCGGACTTATCCTGCCTGCACGTACACAAACCCTGTACTCGGCACAGCTGCATCACAGTTGTGGAATATCCCTATTACAAGTGAAAATTAAAACCTATAAAATAATATGGAGATTATAAAAATTGCGTTAAAACTGATAAGAGCTTTACTGATTTACTGACAATGAAAATATATAGCATTTTTTTGGTAAGAACATTTATCAACACATGGCAACCCTGGACTGACTTGACATGTAAAATGATCAAAATGGATTATAAAATTTCTTCCATTCATTTCTATTGATTTTAGTTCTGATAAAATTCATCAGTGTGCAAAGGAACACTTGCGACTGCCATTTCCAACCCCCCCAAAATCCGGGCCAATTGGCCGGCTGTGATTTTAGTACGAGATGGCTGTGCAGAATACCTCACCCTGTGTGTCAGTGGCGAGCACACACAGCTCCTACATCCCAAGAATGCTAAGTGCTGCATTAACTCTCAATTTTCACTTCTAAACTATGAAGCGCTAAATTCTGAGCTGAAACGGGAAAGCATGGACAAAATTATGTTATGTTTACGAAGAAGCATCTATCTGAACATTCTCCCCTTAAAAATAAACTTTTTCAAGGATAATCAAAGTTATTTTTGTAACTGCCATAACAAACTGCCAGTGAAGGGACCATTTCCAATCAGTTTTATTGATTCATGCTTTCAGTTCTTGCTCAGTTAAAAACAAGGCACATTAAATACATCCTCTTATTGCTCTATAAATGCATGCGGCTCATTGTGTATATCAAAAGTAATAAATAATGGCAGTAAAAGACCAAGACAGTTATAAAAATGACTACTCAACCTCAAACACAGTATTTAACAATTCAGTCTAGAACAGTAACCTCACAAAATACCTAAGTGCCATGTGTAAAACAGGCAATGCGTATACATGTGTGCACATACGTACACACGTGTTTATACACACATATATAAACACACTGCATGTACATGCATACCCTCCCCTCCAGGCATGCAGTTTATTTAAAATCCAAAATATTGCCACATCCAGAAATCCAACTCCCACCTCAAAGACAAAAAAAAACACACCCCAACCCCCCAAAAACATAAAAAACCCCAACCCAAACAAAACAAAACCACCCAAAGCAAACCAAAACACCAACCCCCCCCCAAACCCCAAAACACATTACCGGTTTTCCACCATAGCAATGCAAGGCAGTGACACCGTACAACTCGTTCTACAGTACATTCACATGAAAACAAAATAAACCAAACCAACCAAAGCCAACATTTCTGAAAAGATGTGAGGTGATAAATAAATATTTCTAGATTTTTCCAAGAACAGATTTAGCTGTTTTAAGTAACACATGCAATCTTTACACAGGGTGGTCATACAAGATCTTGCTATGGCATACAAAGAGAAGAGAAGCATGACAATAAAGTGCCTAAGATGCAAAGCAAATTCCTATCGGAGGACACATATTGAGCCAGAAAAATCCCACAGTCTCATCCTGTATGCAGCATTACTAAAACAAGAGAACGAAGAGTATACTTTGGGTGCAAAGCAGAAAGTCCTGGCTTCACAGGTAAACTTTTATTATTAGTTCTTAACAGTGCCATTGATAAAGGAGAATTTTTCTTTGTAAATGCTGCAGATATTTTTCTTTACGTGGCCTGGAAGAGGTCTCCTTACTTATGTTTTCTTCTTTCTGTTTTCTTTTTTCTCCTTATTGTTAGTAGTAGAATCCTAAGCCCCTTTCGTCCTGACCTTCCTCACTGAACCCAAACAGCCTGCGTATCCTACATTCACTTCCCGCAGTTCTACAGGGTATGTAAAATTTGTTGCTGTTTTCATCTGAAGAGGGCTTTGGAGATACGATGCTGCGCCCAACATTACATACTTCACCTGAATATACTGGAACATCAATCAAAAAAGAAAAGTTTGCAGGACCACAGAAACAAAACCCTTTGTCCATAAAATAATTCTTACATTACCAAACATGCTAAGTCCTCAGTCACCCAGACCATGCCTCGCCAGCACAGGACTCCAAGCAAAAAAGCCACAACCCTGAATAACACCATCATTTTGGTAAAAGGCAGGGTCAAAGAAAAATTTAATGTGCAAAAAACCATCTCAAAGGCATTTTATAAGACTGTCTCCTTCACTCCAGATTTTACAAACTGGGCAGAAATATAACCATTTACTGAATTTTAAATGAGGCTTGCCCTTTTTTTTTTTTTTTTTTTTAGCACCTGAATTTTTAATTCTTTTTAAAGGACTCTGCCTCTCCAGCCAAACACAACCTCGGTACTTACTACGCTCCATATGAACACTCCTCAGCGTCTCCATTTTGTGTATGTAATCGTCTTCCCTTCCAAAATATCAAAGCAATCCTTGCTGGTCAGTCCTGTACTGTTATTTTCCATCAGTGAAAGTGGTGACACTGGTTAAAATAGATCAGATTCTACAGAAGTAGAGAACCTAACACCTCGGAACTACAGCTTTAAGTTGTAAATTGGTACTTAAAGAACATAACAGAATGACAAATTCATCAATAACCCATTGTTGTGTTTTTCCCTTCCATGTTCTACATGAGGCAGGAGTCTTCCACCTGATCTTGAACCTAGTAGATCCAACAATAGAAAGGCAAACAGACAGACACAACATGGTTGAAAACAGCTCAAGTGATGATCTTATTTTGCTCCCCCCCCCGCAATTTATCTGTTGAAAAATAGCCCTTTCACTTTTACAGACGATTTAGTGTAATGCAAGACAAATTTCATTGTTTCACTCTGTGTTTGACCATTTTTAAATGAAGAATTAAGACCATCGTGCTATTGAAACCTACTATATTCTAAAGATCATCAGGGTTTATCCAAAACTGAAAACAGTATGAAGCCTTTTATAGCATAAACCAACACCTGTTAAGACTACGCTACTTAATAAAGGAAGCTTATTTTTATTAATATGGGAGAAAGGAAAGCTGTCCCCATGCTTTTAAATAAATTATTAGCTTGGGTGATTAATCAAGATGTCTTCTAGTTTTCCAGCTTCATACTGCCAATATTTTTGTCTGGCCAAGTATTGGTACCACTGAAATAACAGAGCAGTTGGAAGAGCAAAACCAGCCACCTACAGAACCTCACAACAGTTCTTCGCAACTGCTGCCTCAGGAAGTGTCTGTCTTGATCCTATTGTGTTATTATCTCCAATCCAGATCACCAGCTTTCCCTGTCTCACTTTTGTTCAGCAGAGATCAACAACTTTTAAACACTAAATGTGTATTCACAGAACTCAATGCAATGCATTTAAAGGCAGGATGCACTTTCTGAGCATTGTTTTCTCTGAAGGTAAAGGTGATATAGAAGTTAATGAATGAGGCAGTACGTGCACATGCGCTTGTGTGTGCACCCAAATCTTTCTAACCTGTATTCCTGAACTCTTGTTAATGAACCCCTGTGTCTAAAGAATACCCAGTCCAAAGGCCACATACTGGAGTATTAAGAGCTGCACAGAAAACCATTAATAATGAAAACAAATGCACCAATATATTTTTGTAAGAGCTACACCCATGGACAGACGCCAGTCATCTGGAACAAGCAAGGCCAGTCAGAAGCACTGGAATGTTTTTTAGCAGAGATGCATCTCCATTAGCCATGGCTGTGAGCAGACGTTGCGTTTGAACTCACAGTCCACCACCGCTCCGGTCCACCGGAATCCCCACGCGCCGATGCAGATTCTCCTCGGCAGTCTTCATGAGCACAGCCAGCCGGCTTCCAGACACGTAGCCCTTCTGAATAGCACTCATGAGCTTAGGAGACAAGAGAGAGAGCACTCTGTTAATTCCTTTGCAAGGCAAAGAAGAGTGGCAGAGGGTGCAGCACTTCATGAAAGGCCTCAGCAAGCAGCCAGAGTGATAGCAACCAACACCAGTCTGTGGGCAGACACCACCAACCCCTGCTGCCCATATGGCTTATGGGACATGGGACCCCGGCAGAGCTATGCAGCTTGGTGCTATTGTCTTCCCTGCATGAGAGGCAGACAGACACTGCTGGGTGTCCCACCCAAGGGCCACCAGCGGGGAAAAAACCCACATAGCTCCACTCTGAACAACGGCAGAGTTCATTGTTTTGTTCAAGAGCCATTAGCAAGTGTTAATGAATACACATAACTGATTTTTCCATATATACAGCAATACTGCTGTATGGTTTCTGAGCTCATTTACATTTCCCTGAAATACCAGTGAAAGTTTTGGCCAGGCATGGATGGCAGAAAGAGCAGAAGTACCAAATATGATCTGCTTGGAAGTAACGGTGCAAGCAACGGTCAACCCCAGGGTTTTTGCACATAAGAATGGAGGATAACCCACCCATTTCAGAGGTAGTTTGTTGGGGTTTTTTATAGTATCTGAAAGATGTAACTAATAGAACCCCATTTCTGATCCACCACTAATCCTAGACCATACCCTCTTTCATTTATATGTCCTTCTTTGTAGAAACAGCACACTTGACTTCCACAGTTCTTTCAAATCCAAGTTCCTTTACAGACTTTTAAAACTAATTTGCCTTTAAGTCCTGGAAACTGGACTTGGCTCTGTTTTAACGAACACACACTAGTGCTAAGATTTTAGTTAATTCTATTTTATCCCATGGATAAAGCAAGCATTAGACTTGAAATTACATGCAGCCAGCTTGTCAAAAACTACTATGGAAAGCAATTGGCACTTACAAAATGCAATTTCTTACTCCCAGCCAGTGCTGACAATCCTTCAGGTTTCTTCCCCTCCACAAGAAAATCTATTAATTATATCTGCAGCTGGACCTATGCAAATGTGGCATCAACTCTGTCAAAACAGGAATAAGTACCTGGAGGGAAGAAGGTCAGAGGGAAACTCTGTGCTTTGCAGACCCAGATGAGGGTGGAAAAACCTCCCTGCACTTTGAAGGCGTTTACTGACCCTGTGCAGCCCTGAGGCAAGGCAAATGATGGAGTTGGGAAGGAGAGGACCAACAGCAGGAAGAGCAGTAGCTACAGCCAGCAAGGGAAGCCCATGATCACTTGGGATTTGTGTTCCCCATCACCTACCACCCTGGTTCCAGAGTGATCTCTACACACAGCAAGGGAGGTCCCAAGAGGACAGGCCCTGCCCTCACCCATGCACACTGCCTGGCAATATATGCTGCTATCAGTCCTGGGTCTGTCTGGTCTGACTATACCACTGTGTAGGAGAAGCCAGTAGCCACAGAGGTACAGAATTTTACAGCAGTAACTGAAACTATACCAACCACAGTCTATATGGCATGCTTTTGGGGGGAAGCAACCACAAAATGGTGGCTGCTGATGGCTGATCCCCTGACACTGCCATGAAAAGAGTACCTGATAAGTGGGTTGGTGAGGATCAGAAAGGAAAAAAGCCTCTTCCTGATTTAACAAGGTTTTTGACTTTGCATATCAAAACTAGTTCCCAAGTTAGTCCCTCTTTTCCTGAGCCTAAATGACAGCACCACTAAGCTTCAAGAAAACAGTCACTGCTGTAGGACAGCATCATGTGCACACAAACACCACCAGTGCTCTGCCTTCCTGTCACGTGGAACGACCCCTTTGTGTTCCTGACCAACACAGGCCACTTTCTCTCTCAAAAACCTGTTGGCATCAGCGCCTGACAAGATCGGTGCTCACCAGACTGTTACTGGAGTGACAGGAGTGACATGGGCACCTGCAGTTGGTCAAAGGAAGTGCTTGGGACTGCTCCGCTCCCTGTCTGCAGAGCTGCGCTGCCACCCTGGTATGCTGTGTTCCTATATTCTAATATAAATGTCCACAAATATTTGCACATGGCTTTCCACAAGCATCCTGTGGTAAAATGCAATTACTTCAAAGTTTTCAGAAAGCAAACACAAAAGCATTGCGAGCTGACATAACAGATCCATTAAAAAAAATAAATTAAACAAACATTTAATGTATTTTGTTCCTTCCATGGCAACCTGTTAATTTTATTAGCACACTTCATCCTAGGCACTCAGCTGTGCAGGAGCAACCTGTGTGTTGCTCCCTGCCTCCCCGGAAAGGAGGTGCACAGGCACAAGTGATCCTTACTGCAGTGCCAGTCACCAGTATTAAATATTCCAACTGTGAAATGCATAGGAGAAGCCAGTAGCCACAGTTACACAGTTTTACAACAGCACCTTTGAAACTATACCAAAACAGTTGCTTGACTTTCATATTTTACAGATACAGTACCTTAGGGCATGCAACCCCAACTGAGGCTTTTTAGCACAGGGGAGCAAAAAATTCAACAAGCCACCAAAAATCCACCGCAGACATGATTATAAGTCACTCCAAATTTGTAACCACAGTGTATCCAAACTAGCCACATCATAGTTTAACACAGCCCTTACAGTGAAAGATGGGTTCCCCCCTATCAATTAAAAGTTTTCACACAGGGGTGTAAATGGGAGACCCTTTTCAATAGCCAGAAAACCAGCCCTGATTTTCTCTTTTATTTGAATCCATAAGCATGAATTCCCAAAGCCATTGTTCTTCTTCTGCCACCACTGATTGTCTGTTGGGGTTTTTTTTTTGACCCTTCTCCCCAAGTGAATTTCAGTTACCCAGCTAAATTGCTGCATTTTAGGCAAATAGTCCCTTTTTCTAATGCTGGACACAACCTGTGAAATTTTTCTGCATTTAGATTCAACAATGCTGCTCTTATCTACAGCTCATCTCAAGAGAGACAATTACCATTTCCTCTGCCTTGATCTTGTTTGTTTAACTTGACACAGTGAAGAAAAGGCTGACATTGACCAAAATCCCCAGCATGAATTTATCTCATGTTCGGCATTCATCATTGCCACCATGCAGGGAAGACATGGCAGTCACTTGAAATACCACACCAAGGAAGACGCCACAAAAACAACACTGACTGGCAAACAGCATATGCACGAGAGACTGGGCAGACAAACATTTCCATAGTACCCTTTGCTTTATTTTAAAGCCCCGCAAAAGGCAGGTACATGGGTTGTCAATGTAACGTCTTCCATACAAACTGAGGTACCCTTATTCCACCTAGGGTTTAAACCAGTGCTACAGGTTTATATATAAACTCTGTTTTAGCTACAAGCTCATTCTTTAAAATAGGCAAAATAGTTTAGAAACTACTAATCAATCAACAGACCAAGATAAATGTCAGTGTGCCCAACTGTGCCATATACCTTCCAATGGACAGTTTTATCATTTTGATCATACTTAAACAGCACTTCTGTATTATAAAAGGCCAAATTCAGGTCTGTACTGCAGTATACTTTGTAAATGGGAACTGGGTTTTGGGTCTCATTATTTCTCCACATGAAAAAAAAATCCTTGAATTTCAAAGCTGCTTGAGGATTGTTGTGTGTGTCACTCACCTTGTGATCTGGCAAATAGCATCAACACTACAGCGTTTACTCAAGTAACACTCACCTAGTCTCCAATCCAGCCCTTAAGCAGAGGGGAAAAAAGTTAAATACTTACACCTTTGTTAAAGCTACAGCTTCTCTCTTAACAAAGAGACACCTACCTGCAGAAACTCATTGAGCTCAACCTGTCCATTTTTGTTCAGATCCACTTCATTTAGAATATCATGAAGAGTATTTTCAGCAATTTGCACACTGATGCTCTAGACAAATAAAAGCACAGAAGTACATCAGCTGCACTGTTCAGTACTATTTATGCCACACTCTCAAATTTAGGTAAGAAACTTAAAAAGGAAAACGAAAGAACACAAGGAAACATTACCTCCAAGACACGCTGCACATCCAGTATAGTAATAAACCCTTTCTTGTCCTTGTCAAACATGCGGAATCGCTTCTTGTACCTGCAAGATAAGGATTATCAGTGGGAAAAACAACACTCAGAAGAATGACAGGTATTAATTCCTAGCAGCACAGGGCACTCTTTTACTTTACTCACCTCTCAATATCTGAAGGCACTAGACTGATTTCAGAGCTGTCTCTTAATTGATCTGATTTTACTTTGTAGCCCATTTCATAATAGAGAAATTTCTTAGCAGCTTCAAGTTCCTCCTACAAGAAAAAAAGAAAAACTGTGTATCTGAGGAATATGGAGCTTTCACACAATTATTTTTACTGTATTATTTAGTTGTTTCTTCCACTTAACTAGAATTTATCTAAGGTCCAAAAATTAAGCAGATGGTACCTGAGAAGTGTTAAAAAAAAAAACAACTTAAGCTTAGGCACTTTTTAGTCTTGAAAAGAGGTATCAAGACTAGTAAAGACTTCTAATTACCATGTAAATGATTTAAGGACTGACTATACACTGCCTTCAGTCACACAAGCTGTATCTACCTGTTTCATGACAAATGGCAGTTGCAGTTCAGGCCTACAAAATGCCATTTAACTCACAGCTGATATCTTAGTGCAAGTTTTCACCTAACTGTCTCAAATCAGCAAGCAAAAAAATCAGGAGGCTCAAAACCAAGCAGGTTCTTTTAAGTTTTAAACTAGTTTTCTGGATGGTAGTAAAACTGATTTGTTATCTGAAAGTTCAGTGGAAGGTCTTCCACAGCCAGTTTTTTGGTAAGTGATATGCACCTGACACACATAGAGTACTGCAGAGCAGAATTCCTTCTACAGCAATGGGTAGACCAATCACAGTTCTAAGAGTGATACAAGCGTTTCCTATGCAGGCACCGATATTAAATAGTACGCACCACAGAATGGCCGCAGCAGCAGTAAAAGATTCCTTAGGCACGTACACATAAGCCATTTAATCTAGCAAAGCCTTGTTCGTGAAGGCGTACTACTCTTACATAGTTCAATACAAGCAAAGAAATTAGCCTTAAAGTCCCAAACCAACAAAGACTTATTTAATGGTCTTACTGTAAGATCTAAATTAAAGAATGCTCTTCTGGATAGGCACTGAATTGCCTCATCCATCAAGTCAAAATACAACACGGGCAAGATTGCTGTAAAAATGTAGCACTTCAAAATGGCTGAGACTGGTTACAGAAGAAATGCTCAGTAACTCAGTGGAAGTTTAGACTCACTTGAAAGAGAAGGAAACTTTCCCAAAAGAAAGCCCAGCAGACATTTGGGGAATGTAGAGACTGTCTTGCTGGCATTAGGGTACTCATGCAAGCATAGATGGTTTTGCCAGTCCTACAGGTGCATGCAGTATGTGTTAATTTTCATTCCTGCAGGTTACAGTGAGAATATAATCACAGCTTAACTCCCCAACTACAGCTGCTGGAGCTAAGGCTGTCCATGCAACCCTAACATCATGCTAATTTCAAACTCTTTGCTTTGTAAGCTTCCCATTTTCCAATCTATTTTTATGGAAGAATAGATACAGCTTTCTTTAATACAGTAAATTATTTTATGAGCAAATCTTGTTTGGTAAGGGTGGGACACCTCTAAGTTCAGTCAAACACCTCCAACTACAAGGTTGCTTAATGTACACGCACAAAAGCAACACAGTTCACATCGGTGACATGATGGTAGCCCTTTCTTTATGCACTCCTGTGGGAAAGCTTTAGGATTACAGCAGGTCTCTGGCTAGCAGGATTCAAACGAGCTCCTTCCAGAACATTAATCACACTTCTACCTTGCTAAAGGGTTTCATGAACAGTCTGAAGGAAACTTCCCATCTCCTTTGGAGTGGAAGAGCTAGGTGAGCATTTACAGGTTTCTTTTTGTTTCAGAGTGAAAGAAGTCCCAAACCACGGGTCCCATTTGGTTACAGCACTTGTTGTGCTGCCTCTCCTCCACCATACTCAGGACCACATAACACATGCAGCCTCTTTTGTGACAACAGAAAGAATTGATAATCAGAAGCTTACATGACGTGATGGTTCAGTAGGGGCAAAATTCATGTCAGTAAGTGGAATGTCTACATCTAAGCTTAGATCTCCAGGGATCCAGGGTACTCCTGCCAGTTCGTGGGGATCTAAGCAGGGTTGTAGGGTGCAGTTCAATGCACACAGCAGATGCCTTCATTAGGGTAAGTGATCTTTACTACAGAGCAGGCACACAGAAACCAGCTTAGATAGAGACAGCCTGTTATCAGGACTGCAAGTAACAGTAAGATGAGTCCCACACGGTTTGTCTGTGCACAGACCCACTGTGGGCAAAGGAAGGTAACAACGACCTTAAACGTTAATTTAGGACAAAGAATTATGCAAACTCAGTACCATCACTTCTCAAAATACACAGCAGACAAAAAGGAATGACACATATTACAAGATCCTCCTTTTCTGAGGTAGATCTATTGAAAAGTGTCAGTAAACAAAATAATTGTACAGGAATAGGATAGTAATGCCAAGTCTGCTTTCATTTTTAAAGTTGGGGAACAACAGGACACAGATCTTCACTTTCCCCTCCACCCCCCAGCCAATGCCAACTCATTTCACAGCTATTTTGATAAAGTCTTTATAGTGAAATATGCCAAGTGAATCATTCTCTTGGGAAGAAAGCATCACTTGAATTTTTCTATTCAACTAATTTAGATCGTTAACATGGAAACTACTTAAGAAGAACAAAACAGTTTCAGATGAAAAAGGCCCTTTGTACCTTTTTTTTCTGCTCACTCCAGTTAAGTTCTTTTCCCATTATATCTATGATTCTTGGCAGGGCTTCCTCTGCAGCCTGCACATTCAGAAAGGCCAAGCGAGTACGTCGGGAAATCATATCCACTGCTGTGCGAGCATACTCTTTGACACCATAGACAACCTAGAACAATAAGAGAAGGGGAAAAAATGCAGATGAGAAAGAAAACAGGCACTGTCAGAAATTACATTTAGCATCACAAACTGTCCTGCTAGGTTGGCTATACAAAACAAACTTGCTCCCACCCAGGCAGGCAGATTGTTCAAAATGATTGAGGCATTTTATAAAGCAACATAAAATCTTCCTTGGGACATTTTATACAATCAACTTGGCATCAAACATGTATATATGAAATAAAAAATAGACACTATATAGTTACAAATGTTTAATTTTTAAAAAATATATTAATATGTGTATGTACAAACAAAAATAAAGCACGCTCCAGAGAAGGGGAAAAACAAGAACAGGAAAAACTCTGCATCTGACCAAAGGAAAAGGTTTATGGAGATGTTTTACAGAGCAAGACTGACCTGCTCTAGAACCTGCTTATCCCAAGAAGAAAAGAGAGAACAGCATGTAGTTTTTCCACATACCTCAGCTTCAATATAAGGAAATTCAGACACGAGACGCTTTCCAACAATAGGCCATCTCTTTCCTGTAACTTGGGCTATTTTGGCCACCTCAAAAGCCTTGTCGCCATATGTCGAAGCTAGATGCTGAGCCACCTATGGAGTTGAAAACAAATTCAATAGGCTTTTGAAAGCACATCAAATGCGCACATTTTTCTTGTCAATTCTCTTGTCAACTGTAACAAACAGGCTGAAGAGGGTATTAGATTTTGATTATGTGGGAGGAAACTATTTGTGTTGAGAATGGGTTAGGCCAGCACTGACACCACTATGTATGTATCAGTGTAACTGTGACTAACGATGCTCCAACTCTTCTGCTGCGCTGTGATCATATCTGAGGTACAGACTTTTTTGGGCTCAAAGGAAGACAGATCCTAGGATGTTGTAACATTTTAAAGCAGGAAACAGTCAAAATTAGGAGGAAGGAAAAAGGGAATAAAAGAACAATTACTACATTTTTTCCCCCCAGCTAGATAATAAGCTCTTATCAGGTTCAACAGACCTTTAAACAAGTCATTATGGTATCAGATTTAGTGGAAAAACAAAACCCTCCAACAAAGAAACATCTGAGCATCAACAGACACCATGACTCACCTCACTTTCAAGTCCATAGTCTTGGACCAACCTAATGTAGAGAGTGGGACTCCAGTCCTCAGCCCCTTGCAGCTGCAGTCCAAGAGTTTTACTGGAACCTGCCTTCAAATTGTGTGCCTCAACAGCTGCATCAATGGCGTCCTTTGCCATGGCACGGTAGGTTGTCCACTTCCCACCTGTAACCACACATTTACCCCTTTATTTGGGGAAAGTAAGGGGAACACCAAGTTGGTATATACTATATATATTTTGTAGATCACATCACTCTTATTAGCTTGCTCCAATAAGCCAGTCATACTACTACTGGCAGATGATTATCTGGCTATAGGAGCATGAAGGATTGTACTGAAACAAGGAAAGGTTTTGAATAAAAGACACTGGGTAAATCCAACAACGCTATACTTTAAGAGAAACTCCTAGTTTAAGAGTACCTGCTATCGTGACAAGGCCACTATTGCTAATGGCAACAACATGATTCCGGCATATCGACTGTGTGTCTTTGGAGTTGGGGTCTGTGACCAGAGGACGAATGCCACTCCACGCTGCCAGTACGTCTCCTCTTCTCACTGTCCAGAGCAAAAGATCAGCTAATCAGCTACGAACTGATGGGTATTTACCTCATATCACTCCTGTGGTCTTTGTGGCATTGCCTCTAAGTGGATATTCACTGTGAAACAAGGACTGCAGCACACCATGCTTGTTAGCTGAGCAACAAAAAAAACCTGGAGATGATCCTCCAAAGTAATGGAATAAACTGGGCTACAGAACTAAAATCAGCACTGTCCTGAGCAGTATCAGTAATACTCTCTAGCCCAGAGCAAAGTCAGAGAGGTCTGTCTTTCACACCGGTTAAAAATCCAACAGAACAGAGATATCCTGGTAACTGATCAATCAAGAGAGATCCAACTGTCAAACTCAACTATCGCCTCAGAAAAACCCCAATGCCGTTTCTGCATCCTGTCCAGTTACAAGTATATCCCTAAAGCCAGCCCTGACTTCTTGGTAAACTTGGAAGAAGAGAGCCTGAAGGCACCAGGTAGTCACAAAAGCCCTTAGCAGTTGTATGAAAATACCCTAGCCTCTGAAAGTCTCTTAAAAAAAATAATACATATATATATATATATATATACACACATACATATATATATATATACATAAAAGAAAGTGAAACCAACATATTTTAATGAAATTAATTCTGTTGCTTATTAAATTTGCAATAGAAAAACTGGCCAATTTGCTTTATGCTGGAGCATTTGGAACATTTTTTTTTAATACAACTTTCAAATAAATAATAATTGAAAATCAGTAAAAGGGTGTAAAAATATCCCCCAAAGAACACAAAATAGATTTCAGAAATCAATGGTGCTCTGCCAGCATGTTTAACCTGCCAAAATGAAGTGTTAATCACAGAAATAAGATACCATATTACGTTTATAAACTAATGAAACTAGAAAAAGCAGCATGCGTGACACTATAATTAAACAGTTGGAACTCATCCAAGCCTGTGTAAGTTGATAACCCTGGCACTGTCTCTGGCAGCTAAAAGGCAGGTCTGCAGCGAGTTGATATGGCCAGCACAGTTGTTAATTCAGTAACAAGCAATCTATAAACACTGCTAATTGCATATGTGAAAAACAGCGTGCACCTAGGTAGGTTTCATTCAAAAGAATTAACCACTTCATAATGTACTTCTGTAAAATACCTTACAAAATCTCTGTCTCACCCACATTCTTACCTTTACCAGCTATGTTGCTGGCCCACCACACATACCTATATTGACTTCTACTCACAAAGCTTAAAGGTACATTTCCTGAGGACTTCTGAAGTTCACACAATACAGGTCAATCAATTATCCACTTCAGAAAACAAGTAATGTAGCATTTCCAATCTCTGGACAGCAAGTTTTCCTAAATTTGAGGATGCTGCAATGCTCCTCCTAACCAAGTACTTTTCAGATTTATTTTAATGCTGCTATACAACAGAAATACAGAAGTACAAATGTTTTCACAAAATAAAAGAAAAATAAAAGAATCACTAAGAAAGAAAAAACCCTCTCTCCTTTAAATCAGCATCAAGTCAAAGCAGGCCAGCTTCTTACAACAAATGGGTTCTCAGCTCAGCTGCTGAAGGGAACAACTGGCACCAAGTAATTTTTATAAATTCTCCTCTTGCACTGAACACTGACACTATTAGATAATTACCATATCAAGAAGAGTCAAATGTTAAGAATAAAGTGCCTAGAAAACTAGAAATAAAAACAAAGACATGGGAAAACTCAGGACAACTTCTCTTTTAGAAAAAAACAGGTGAATTATTTGATGGACTCATAATGATGTATGGTGGAACTGTTCCAGTTCTGCAAAACCTTTCATCTCCCACCTGGAGAGGCCAGAATGCAGGTGTATTGAAAAGCACCATTTTATAACTCTGAAAAATAGATCATGATGACGCTTATGTCCTGCTAGTTTTAGGAACAACCAGATGCATAAGAACCACAGTTATCAGAGCCAAAGAGAGAGAGAGAATGCACTCAAACTGAAATGCCACAAACTCACCCACACCTTCCCAGGTTAAAACCAAGTGGGCAAAGGTTTACCTTCAACATCAGCACTAAGGTAGTTGCGCACTTCATTCAAAATGAAATTTATATCTTCCTCTGTTGGTATTGGATGGGAAGTAACATCGGTCGGGCTATCCGTGGTCCCTGCAATAGTCATCTTCTCCCATGGCAGGAAGAAAATCACTCTGCCATCGCTGGTGGCTGGGTCAAGCAGACCCATATGATCAGGGCTGAAATAAAGGATGGACATGGTTCAAAACAGGGCAGGCATCACCAGGGATTCTGTTCTTGCACACCTTGTACCCCATACAAAGTATTAGAATGTTACCTTCGTTCCTAGGTCAAATGATTAAAAGAAAAATAAATAAATAAATAAATAAATCAGAGATTTCACCTGACTTTAAAAAGTAGTCCCAGATTTTTTAAGAAATACAGCACCTGAAAGTGATGCTCCTTTTTTGCTTCGCTAAGCAGGTTAGCAGACCACAACCTTAAAGCTAGTGACCAGGTCTTTGGCATCTCACCTCTCCATTCACTTTGGAAAGCTGTGTTCGTTGGAATTTCAAATACAAACATTTCGTAATTTTAAAACAGCAATTACTTGAAACTCTTTATGGAATGAACAACTGCTTTTGATCAAAAAAAGGCCAATCATTTATAATATGCTTCAAAAGAAAGGGAAGGTTGAAACAGAATACACATTTAAATGGAAGAACAGAACCGTAGTTCTGTTTTGATGCATCTAAGTACATAATAAGAAAAATTAAAAATTAAGTATTATTAATCTCAGTTCTCAACTATCTGTGCCCTAAACAGAGGACAAAAGCAAAGACCTACAGAATCCCAGTGACAGCCTCAACCTGCATTTTCAGTAATGGTGTGAGGTGGGAGAGGGGTAATGGTTCACAACAGAACACCATGAAGAAAACAAGAGAAGAGCAACACTGAAATCATAAGCATTATAAGCACATTCCAACAGTAAACATCCAGCAATACCACAGCCTGGGTCTGTTAACCATCTGCCACTTCAACAGGAGCGAACGCCCAGACTCCCACAGGACTCAGACCAAGATGTACACTCAGAATACTCCCAACTCCTGTGCTCCTGAACAGGGAACCATGTTGTGAGAAAAGAAGACAAGAAAAACACTAACTGGATGCTACTATTCAGAGCTTTGTAAATTATTTACGCCAGTGCAACAAACAATGATTTAGTTAAATGAAGATAACCAGTAGTTATTCATATAGGAAATTTTAATTTCTGTATCAATGCTTCCTGATAGAACATAAAAAAGAAAAGAAAAATAAAGAAAACAAACCAAAAATCCACAGGTACAAACCCAGTTATCCTCATTACTTACTAAATATCTCTGCTTGTATTTCAGAAAACAAAAGGCTTCTATAATTACTTCAAAGTAAACAGCTTTTATATATGGGAACACTTAAGCTGCCCCTTTTTTTGTTCATTTTTACTTAAAGAAAAGATGCCAACTTTCATTTGCAGTGCTGTAGGTACTTGCAAAACCACCTGCAGCCAGGTTAGCAGTCTTCAGGTTTTGCCTCTGATCCTGGTAACAGAAGGAGCATATAGGAAGTATACAGAAGGAGGACAGGAGGATATGTATTTAAGGGGTAATACGGACCATCAGAGGAGTTCAATGGACTCAACTATTAACACAGTAAGCTGAAAGCAGACAAACACCTGCTTGGATATGAATTACCTATTCTAGGGAGCCACCAGCCAAACCACTGAATTGTTATTTTTAGGAAGTCTAAGATTACTGAAGGTAAGTTTTCAATATCTGGAAAGGCTAGAAGAGAAGCTAAAAATTTCATACATAGCATGTATATTAGAACATTTTTTAGGTGATATTTATAGACAGCTTAAGCATACAGTTGGAAAAGTACAATTTAATAGGGGAAGTCAACACAGATTTGTGAAAGGTAAATCACGTCAGACAAATGATTACTTTTTAAAATGAAAAAGCTATTGATTTAGAGACAGAGGAAACTAGAGATTTAATATACAGTATCAGAATATTCAGAAAACTTCAGACATTTTCTCAAAAGTATGGGTTTTTCTAAATGTGATCTCACAGAAACTCTAAAATAAGGAAGATAAACAAGTAAAGACTTAAAACTAAGTTCCACCACAACACCAATGGTGTGAAGTGTTTTCAATTTGATTACACAGCAAATGGTGAGAAAGGATGAAATAGTTCTCCATATGCCAATTAATTTACTGAATTAATGACTACTAGCTATCCCAGGAAGCACACTCTCAATCTCCCATTGCTATGTTTGTTCCATCTTACACAAATAACTAAAGAGCCACCAAAACAAATTAAATTGTTTCTCATTGAAAAGAAGCATCCTAACACCCAAATGTTGTCTGATCTGGAATGCCTCTGGAATCATCTGCTGCACACTAGAAATGGTCCTGAAACAGCACGTTTTTGTAAGACACGAATTCTTGCGACTACAGAATAGACGTGAAAATGAGCTATGAAGTATAGCAGCATCAGCCATTGTTAAGATTTCTCTAGCACTGTTTAAAGACTACTGAAATGGGTAAGTTCAGGACTGTGAACTCTAATATGAAGTATAAAGCATTGCCTTTACATAGAAATATAGGGGCAAATGGTCTTGGAGTGTAATACAGATGAATCTTAAATGGCTGTTAGCAAAACAACCGTTAAGACACCTGGTCTAATGTTTAACCAGTTGTACATTATTGAAGAGTTAGCTTATAACAACTGAATGTGGTAGGAGGTTCCTTTTCCAAAAAGCAGTGAAGTTGGACAATGTATATTGAACATATGAAAAACCAGGAAAAAAATCTTTAAAACAGATGACTAAAGTACCTGTAGAATGTAAGAAGCTGTAGACTACTGAACTAGACAAGACGCTTTAACTGAGGGGAAGATCAGCAAGTCTTAAAGTTGAGGTCAGTAAGTGGTTCCTTCCTGGACATTGCATTTTATGGAACAGAACAGATACACGGAAGACCTCTAGTTAAATAAGCTTTGACCAAAGCACCACAAATGCAGTTAAAGAGCAAATAGGCAATTTTCCATAGAGTAGAACTAAGGTTGAGCAGACAATTTTACATGGGATTCCGAATGCAGATCAGACAAGAAAACTCAAGACAGACAAAAAGCATCTGACATTTGTCAGAAGGGAGGCGAAATGAAGTATTTCATCCACAGACACATTTCAGGCAGCAAGCCTATCATAACAGAGGTAGTCAAAAACCACTTTCATTTAGCAGATAATACACTTGGACAATAGGGAGTGAAAGGGACTTGCTGCAGCTACCAGAATAGATGTATACTAAAAATAGGATTAATGAGAGGAGGAATACTGAGACTATTAATGAAGAACACATATGAATAAGAAACCCATGGGAAATAAAGGCATTAAGTTAACATTAGTTTTACAAAACCTTAACTATGTTTATATCTAAAAACTCTACCTCTTCAAAAAAAATAATTTGGGTGAGTATGGGCAAAATTCTCTATAAAACATTTACCATAAGGAAAGCAGTCACAGTGAAATTACAATCTTCGTTTGCTGAGGAGTGTTCCTTGGCAGCAGGAGACGACCTGATACAACTAACATTAAATACCACGAGTATTTTCTATTTAGCAGACAGTTCCTTGGTTTAAGCTATCCCACTTCATAGAAATTCAGTGCAGTTTTATCTAATCAGCTACACTGTGGAGGCAGCATGTGGGTAGATACTATTTCACAAGAAAAGTAATGCCCACATGCTGACATACACAGGGGAACAAGGAAAACAAGAACTCTCTGTATTTCCAATTAAAATTATTAGGTTATTACAGAATAAATAAATTAGAGTCCTCATGCATCCCAAGCCATCTTCTACTTTGAATTTACAAAGTGAGTCAAAGTTTTAAAACTTTATATGGTTTTGCTGTAGGGCCTTAAAGGCAATCACACATATCCTTCTCATAGCATGTGAGTAAACTAGGATTACAACCCATTCCTCCACATTGCTAGTGCTTTCAAGCAGCTATCAAGTCATTTTCCCATTTTTCATGTAGAAATACACCAAAAAAAGAACAGAATGCAAGAATGATTTTACACTAATCCAGAAATGCCTTAATTCTACAGCCATGGTCATGTCCTGTTGGGACAGATCTGGCAAAAAAAAAATGTTGTGCACTGGAAGTCTAAATTTATATTCACAGAGGAATGCAACGATGATATGGAAAGCATTATTGTAAGTGCACTGTATCAACAGAATTGAGCTAAGTCTATAAATGTGAATTTCCATTAGGATGCTAATGACTTCAGAAACCAAAGGTAATATTTGAGTTTCAACTGACATAGCTTGCTTGGTAGAAGGGGATTTGGTTTTGCACAGCAAATACGGACAGAAGCAGTAGCCCACAGAGTGCGTGCTCACAGAGTGCCACAGGGACCTCTGTGACAAGGTCAGCAGTGGAGGCAAGTCTTCTCCACCAGAATGGTGGGTGGGCTGGTGGCCACAGCAGCATTAAAATTTAATCATGTTATTTTGAAGTACTTATTCTATGGCCTACATGCTGTCTTCATATGTACTATAAGTGGAGCCATAATGTGGCAAAGTACAGTGGTACTGTCACTACACAGAGAGTTTCATGTTTAATAGGACAAGAATTTATGTATGAAGGCAGCAACCTCTCTGGAAGGTTTCATATGCTGCTTCTTAAGGGGAGTGAACAAGTAGCCAGTACACTCAATTCAAATTCATTATTGAAAAATATGCCTTTCACAAGTCTGTTGCAGATGCCCTGCCTAAATACCCTTCTGCTTCAGCAGGAATTCTGCTTTGGTGTGTTTTAACTAAGAACTACGAGACTTCAGTCTTTTTCTGAATATACGAAATTGATCTTCTAATCAGCACAGTGCAGAATCCTCTTAAAAAAAACTCCACTCAAAATAAAAGTCAAATGCATTCAAGGCTACCATAAAACCCAGAAATGTGTCTCTGCAAGCCTATTTATTATAGACACCAGGAGAGATTGTTACAAATGGTTTAGGCTTTGAATATCGTTACCTGTAATAACCAGGCATCACAATATGCACGCCTGCACTTGGCTGACAGATGTTTGGTACTTCCTGATCATCCATTTTGCGCACAGAGTCTGTGAAAGGTCCCGTAGCATTGATAACACATTTGGCTTTGACATCAAATTCCTGCCCTGTGAAAGAAAACAGTATCAATCACATAAACCATTTGTTTTCTTGCTCACTGACACCCTCTGTTGTGAATCTGTCTATGAACTTCACCTACTGTAACACACATCCTGCTTGTCTGAACAGAACAGCTGGAATGATTTTTAAAAATTAACAAAGTTTTCATGTAACGCCGTATTTGAAAGAAAATGTTTTACAGTGAAATTCCATCTTATCTGTAAAGGCAGAAGGAGGGAGACTGGATGGAAGAAGTTCAGCTGAAATCTACTTCTCAAACATGAAAGATTTCAGTCTCAATCCATAGACTTGGTAAATGGGACTATTACTGTACAGCACGTAGCATTTTACAATATCATCTTTGCTTGACAGAAGGGTTTGGATGTAAAGCTTAGCCTACCCTGCCAAAATGCTAGGATTCAAGTGAAAAATCTGACAGAAGTTAAAGATGATTGACACTAATGGTATGCTACTGCACCCTGGGAAGATGGCTCCTTTGTTGGTTCATTGATATTTACAAACAGCAGCATTCCCTGCTCCTCCCTTGTCTCATTATTTGTGTCTTTAATGAAAAACAGGCCCTCCTGAAGGGTTCTTCTTCCTGCTCAACCATGGTGTGGTAGAGCCCACTGCAGAGTGCCATCACCTCCACCCACTGAGCAGGGTGTTGCAGACCAAAGGACACTGGGGGCCCACCACTTGCCAGCCCGTCATCTGGCAAAGCTGGGCAGGAAGCTGTCCTAGTGTACCGCAGCTTTCCCATTACCAGGAAGGCACACACCTGTTAGGATGTCCCTGCAACGCACACCACACACACGCTCCTTCCCGCTGGCTGGGTCTGTCGTCTTGAGCAAGCGCAGCACTTCAGTGTAATTGGCGGTGGCAGCGCCGTACCTGGCAGCAGTGAGGGCGATGGCGAGGTTCATCCGCGCATCGTTGTGCTGTCCTGCAGCAGGGATAGGACCAGAGGAAGGACACCAGTCACCTCCAGCCACAGACTTGTGGTATGGAAGTGTGTCAGAACCGATCTGTCACATCTGTCCCTGTCACATTGAATAGGTTTGATGGCTGCCCGCATCTGACGAGAATTATTTAAAGATACATCCCCTCTGCTTCATCGGCAGCAATGTGCCCAGCTGTGCTCCTATGTGGGCTGCTGGGTACCCAAGAGTATACAACAAGCACAGCCTCTGAACATGCAACTTAGAATTAGGTTAGAATAAAACTTAGAATCAGGCTCACCTCCACCTAAGGAGCAGACAAATTACTTTTTTCTTTACCTTTTCCTGTGCAACTGTGCTGCAATTCTGTAAATGTATCCAAGCATTCATTTGACATTCCAACCAGTATTAATCAACAATCCCTATTAGCAAGTATGCCACACAGCATCCAACAGCCAAGAAATAACCTTTCAGAGACTGTGCCAATTTACCAGCTCTCTAGAACTGTTTTTTATTCATGTTAACTTCCTAACATACAACATAAAGCATCAAAGAAAGAGAAGTAAGCAGACAAGAACTAATGAAGGATTCTTAACATGTATCATTAAAGATTTATTACTGAAATTCCCTTGTTAAAGAAAACTAAGAAAGAGGTGGAGGGACCATGAGGGGAAGATGATTAATTACTTGGAAATGCTGGCTTCACCTGAGACTCCTCCTATTTGTTATTGCCACTGAAGTTAAAAGTCCTGGATGCTGGCTGGAAAGAATTACTACACTGAATAGGGGCCAGGCTCTGTGTGTCCTGAATAATTAATTTAAAAGAAGCTAAACTTCCCAAGGCATGGTTCACTTCCCTACGTGTTTGGACCACTTCTATTAAAGATAATACGGATAAAGTGATAAATTTCCAAATGGACACTGTAGTTGACTTATGTTGCCAGCATTCCCAACATTTAGTATAAATGGTTTATGTAAAATTTGGTTCTTTTGATTCTGCCTGTGCAATCTTGAGCCACTATGCAAATAATCTGCTCCTAGCTAAAAGGGCAAAGTTATAAAGATGGGATCAATGGCCTCGAAGGTGCCGCATCCCCTCCCCAAACTCCTCATTCTAACACAGCCCAGACGATACAGTGCAATAAGTCTTCAACTACAAGAAAAAAAGTTATGCGAAACATATGGGAACAGTAACATGATAAAGCACCGATGAAGAAACAAACAGTAACTCCAATTCAACTAAGCAAACAATGCCAAAAATAAACTGCAAAAAAGAACAGCAAAACAACTGAGCAAGATGTCAAGAAAAGTTGGGGACACTCCATCACACAAGATGCGTAAGATGAAACAACCATCTGTCAGAAGTGGCAGGCAAATCATTAAATAAATGCAACAACATTTATGCTGTGGTAGTGTTGGGGAATGGATAAAATGACCTTATGCAGTTTACCTCAAACCTTCACATTTTAACACAGGCTTGAGCAAATGCACATCTCATATATAGAGGGAGCACTAGACAGAAAAAAAGACAACAGTGACGGACGAGCTGCATTACAGCAGCTCCTTCTACATAAAGCAGAATACAGGACATGCTTCAGAGTAACCCAGGCAATGCTCCTCTTATCCAAAGTTTAAGGCTTTCAGAAGGCAGCGTTCTGGAGTCATCTCTCTTCACAGTGGTACTTGATCTGGGAGACTGCCTGCCCCATAGGGTGCTGCAAGTCTTGATATTGCAGGACAAGGAACCCAGCAGATACCAGGAATGCCACCCTCAAACCAGTGCTGTCTATATACATAGCAACCCTGGAGTACTTGTTTCCATGCAGCAGGACTTATTCTTTCATTGTAGAAGGATCGTAGGACCAAGGGGGTTTCTTTAGTTACTTTATCCTCCATCAATTAGTCCTTGCCATCAGTGCCTAAGGGGGTACCCCCCACAAACTGGTCTTCTCCAGCTAACATAGGGTGTGAATTTATCACACAAAAACAGCCCAACTTTCATTGTTTGCCAATATTAGCTTTGGTCTAATGGAAGTCTTACTGTTTACATTTTGCAAGCTTGATTCTTCACAGTTTTGTGACTTATTTGTCCAGACCAAAAGCAATCCAGAGAAGCCATCAGCAGAACAAATAACGTGAAAACAGCTGTGATTTCTAAAGAGAACAAACATCTAAGTAACAACTGTTTATTAAGCCCCAAATCCAAGAGCTGATCAGCATTTTGTTGAAACTCCTAATGCCCGTAACATCAGAATGAGTTAAGGATATGCTCAGTGCATTGCAGGATTTGGACCACTGTGCTCAAGATAACATTTCCATGCTTTCTCTGAAACTCTCATCCATTTTCCCCTCATCATTATTCTGATGCAAGAAACCCCTTGCTATTACTCAAATCTCAGCTGTCCAAAAGGAACTCTGAGTGCCTATGTAATGTATTTGCAGGAGGAGGACTGGGAAATAACCAGTTCCTGATTAACTACACATCTAGAAAACCCACTGGTTTCAGATTGATGTGATCACAGTGCGGAGTCCTCGAGTATTTCACAATATAAACAGCAGAGATCTGCAGAGGTCTAGATTTGAAAGAAATGAAGAGTGACTTACTAGCTCAGAAATTTATCATCTGTGGAGAATAATACTGCAATAGTTTGGTAGAAATGGGGGTCACAATACAGTATTTTTCATACGCAAAGAACTACTTTTATTTTTTTTTAAAGCCCCCAACTCACATGTGCACATTTTTCCCCCAGACAACTACATTAAAATCCTGCACTTTATATGCAATAATCTTTTTTCTTGATGTCTGAAGAAGCAGGTGCTGTTCCTCCATGCACAACCCCCAGTATAAAGGCAGCACAGCCAAATAATTTCTTACTACAGCACATTCACTGCTGACAAAGCATATTTTTTACCAATTAGAGTAAAACTAGCTAATTACTACTTTGGAGTCAGGAATGTTTGTTTCAAAGAGAGTGGTACGTGAGCAACAGAAAGATGAAAGGGTACTGCTTCCTACCTGTCCTTCAAACTCTCCTCCCTAATAAACCCCCTCTGCAGTTCTTGCAGCCTGCACAGGAGGTGGCTCAGTGACAAGAGGTATTGCTGTGGTACAGGGTGATATTGGCATATGGGTCGGGGAGCCTCTGGGGGCTGGCAGAACCAGGCTTTGATGCCTGGCCCTTCCTTCAGTGGAGATAAGGAGAATATGAGGGATGGTGGGCACCTCCCAGCCTGGCATCACAGCTAGAAGTAACCAGACATCAAGGTCCCAGCATATTTGGTTAAAGATGGTGTAAAAAATACCCAAAGGGGCCTACAAGAAAGCTGGAGGGGGACTTTTTACAAGGGCACATAGACACAGAACAAGAGGGAATGGCTTTAAGCTCAAAGAGGGTAGACACAGAAAAGGTATCAGGAAAAAGTTCTTTACTATGAGGGTGGTGAGACACTGGCACAGGTTGCTCAAAGAAACTGTGGCTGCTCCATCCATGAAAGTGATCAAGGCCACTTGGAAAGGGCTTTGGGCAACTTAGTCTAGTGGAAGATCTGTGTCAGGGGGGTTGGAAATAGATGATATTTGATGTCCCTTATAAACCATTCTGGGGTTTCATGTGTCCTCGTACTTGGATGATCTTTACTGCTCTAGAGAGAAATGGAAGGGTGAAGCAATGATCCATACCTCAACCTTTCTAATTTTTCAGTTAAATGCCATTCCCCCCAGATAAGATTAGGAGATTCACCAAAACCAAGATAAAATTGCCTCCAAGCTTAACTTCCTCCAGAACAGATGTGTAAAGCTTTTTTGACCCAAGCACTGTTACCACCTTGAAAAGATGCCCAGGAAACCCAAGCTGTAGTTTTGTGGTAAATGGTTAGGTAACCAAGAGCTTGCATGGGAGGTCCTGGATTATCCACCTAAAGATATCTCTGCATCCATCATCCTCCACATCAGGCACTAGTGCCCCAAAGCAAAGCAACAAAAACAATGACTGCCCCTTGCTAGCAGAGGAAACCACTTCATGACTCCATGGGAATTTTTCCCAAAAGTCATAAGTTGTTTTGTAACAACAAAATGGCTAAGCCCAATTAATTTAGTGTCTTTTTCCATAAATGAGTAAGCTCCTAACCTGTAGGCAATACAGTGAAATTCTAATTATGACCTTCACCACAACAGATGTTTGCAAACACCCTGTCCTCTGTTGTCCAGAACTGTTGCTGGAGGCTACCTTGGAGAGCACTTGTTTGCTGTGCACTGTGCACATATCAGCTGTCAGCTGGATGCATCTCAATGGTGGTGCAAAAGGTATCCTTGGGAAAAGCACCCAAGAGGCAACTGATGCACATGCTGAGTGTCCTTTGCAACTCCTCCCATGATACCTCTCAGAAGGATGTTTAAACCCTTTAGGATATTTCAAACAAATGAAAGAATCATCCATCTTGTTATTCATTATTGTCATCTGCCCGTAATATAGTAAAAATAGGGTGAGGCCTTAATTTTTATGAAGATAGGCTGAGGAAGTTGGGGCTGCTCAGCCTGCAGAAGAGAAGGCTGCGTGGAGACCTCATAGCAGCCTTCCAGTATCTGAAGGGGGCCTATAGGGATGCTGGGGAGGGACTCTTCATTACGGACTGTAGTGATAGTACAAGGGGTACTGGGTTAAAACTTAAACAGGGGAAGTTTAGATTGGATATAAGGAGGAAATTCTTTCCTGTTAGGATGGTGAGGCACTGGAATAGGTTGTCCAGGGAGATTGTGAATGCCCCATCCCTGGCAGTGTTCAAGGCCAGGTTGGATGAGGCCTTGCGTGATATGGTTTAGAGTGAGGTGTCCCTGCCCACAGCAGGGAGGTTGGAACTTGATGATCTTAAGGTCCTTTCCAACTCTTACGATTCTACGATTCTACAATTAAGGGCACTCAACCTAGCTTTTATTAAAACACTGGCCTAAGTGCTTTCATTAAATTATCACTAAATCCTCTTTAAAAAAACCTCACCTTATTCTTAG